TATAAAAGCAAAAAGAAACAAATAAATGGCGTAATAAATTCTAAAGAAGTTGCAGAAATAGCGAGAGACTGATGTCAAATAATTCCACAAATCTAAAGGTGTACTTGTTTGTGAGCGTGTTGTGAAGGCCGGGTTCTAATTATGAGAGAATGGCAGTGTTCGGGGGTGTAATGTCTGTGGTCAGATCAAAGGTGCATCCTGTTCTCCAGAGCCAGGCCCCAGCAGATGTTCCTCTGTGAGCTCATACCTCGGGAGAGCGGCCGTGGACATCTGCAGCTGGCCCTTCCATTGTAAGTGATAGCATCATGACATCACCTCTTCCTGGCTCAGACCCCCACGCTGATCTGCGGGCGAAAAATAGAGCGCTCCTCTAACAAAGATGATGACGGATAGTTTGTGGCAAAAATGAGCACAGGGCGGAGGAAAGACAGCGCGGGTCAAATGTCACAGAGTCAGAGAGAAGATTACACTGGACTATTTAAACACTTGAACTGAAATAAACAAATTAAAATTACATGGAGGCATTTATTAAAGGGAACATCTCATGCAAAATCAATTTTTCAGAGCTTTCTACCTTCTAAGAGTGATGTGTGGGCCTTGAATATGTTGGTGAAGTGTTTTTTAGATTGATTCGGTGTTTTTTTTAACAAATTGCAACGTATTTCTGCCACTCTCCCACGTGACAACAAATTAAAGCTGCTACAACGATGACGCGGCAGATACACCTATGACGTGTCTGACGTAGCAGAAAACGCTTCGCACACGACCCCCTCCCCCACGCCACCACCTCCACCACGTATCGGCTGACAATTCCAACATGAACACCTAAACAAAAGTGACAGCATAAGCTCATTGTTCTACACTACAGTGAACATGATATACTAAGTTTATCTACTAGTGTTTATTAATACTTTTGTTGTGGCGCAACAATGGAGGGACCCAAAAATAGACTGCAGACCGGGTTCACAAAATGAAAAAAAGGAGAATTTATTTTACAATAGGTAGGATGTGGGCTGGAGCAGGACTGGAAACGGCAGGGATCACTGGAGAGCAGACAACCCAGGTAAGTAGGTGAGCAGGTCTAAAGTAGTCAGGCTCTTGATTGCTCGCAGGTGAGTAGAATTAGAGGTCCAGGAGACTCCGCCCACATACACACACACACACACACACACAGGGGAAAAGAGGGAGGGGGAGCACCAGTCATGACAACTTTACCAATCAGTAATGTTCAGCTGATGCCAACGTGGTGCTTGAGCTTCATGCTCCTCAAAGTCCTCGTCCGATTCCGGGTCCAACACATGCGGCTGAACACGCTGTAAAAGTTTATTCCTGCCACTATCAGGGTGCACGTCTGTCTCCCCCTCCCTCCCTGAGATGGCGGAGGAAGGACGGCTCACTCAGAGCCTACGTCACGTTTGGAGGGCGGAGCCTGTGCTTTCTCAGGACGGGCGGGGGGATGAGCAATAGCCGGTAAGATTTCATGACTATTGTGTAATGGATGTTCCAAATTTAGTGATGGGCAAATGTCTCGCTCTTTCTGAAACAAATTGCTCCGAAGCACTACCTCGGAGCTCGTCTTGCAGCAGCCGTTCACGTGACCAAAGTGTGGAAGTGTCGGTCCCTCCCCCTCTGTGTGTCAATCGCTTCAGTGTATCGAAGCGTTTCATTGGCTCGGCAAATGTTCCGCTCTGCGATTGGTTCAGAGTGCTTCAGAGTGTTCAGCGCACTTCCGTGGTTTGACGAGCTCTAAACTGCTACAGTATAAAAGATGCACCAATATTTCTTAAAAATGTTGGGTAGTGAGGAGTATTGTGTGACGTTAGTGGTGATTTTGGCGACTTTTGGCATTTGTTTCATTTTCGATGGCATCTACAAGTGGAAAAAAGCGATCCATGGTTTGGGATTCCACCTAACAAGGTAACAACTATTTTCTTATTTACAGCTGCTATTTATGTTGCTCTTTACATATTATTTTAAATCATCATTATTACTGTTGTTGTTAGGTACGGTGTCGCTCTGCACACAAGTTAAATTTGTCCACTAGAGGTCAGTGTTTCTCCGAGGCCTCAGACACGTCAAACCATTTGAGACAATATTGCGACTGAGGTGTCAATGCTTCACGAGGCTCCATTCGTCCATCACTATCCAAAACCCAAATTGTGCTTGTATAAGTGCAGAAGATACAATGTGAAAAGAGTTATTTTGCATGAGATGGGCCCTTTGAATTAACCCAGATGTTTTTTCACTCACAGAGAAGTCTTCGTTGGTGAGCATTTTACGTTGTATCTTATTGTACGTGATGATGTAATGGTTTCCTTTTACCAACGAGGTCTATTTTTCCTCAGACACCTGCGGACTGAAAAGACCATCAATCCAAACTGAATCTGTTTCTCAACCCTCGTTTACTCCCATTATACGAGCTAACAATGGAAACCCGCCTAATTGTTTTTGTAAATATAGGAGTAGGCACAGCTGCTCTCTGGAGGGACGCTCGGATCGACTCGAGATGGATTATTTGTTGGACCTTTCAGTCAAAGCTGAAGCGTACGTCACTAACAATGGGATTTAGGGACTTGTAATTAGGTTAAAAAATACTAAAAGCCTATTAAAGTTTTGTGAATTTTCTGGTATTTTTTTATTTGTGGGTTTGAAAGTCCAGATTCTTCCCAGAATATTTGACTGAAAATAAGAGGTTTGCAGATTTCCCCTCATGTTTATGTCCATGAACTTTTGGTTTTTTCTTTTATCAGATAGGCAGATAAAAATGATTAAATGAAGTCCAAACGCCTCTTTGAGTGTTTGAGTTTTCTCAGGTGACACTGTGTTACTGTGATATTTTAACCGTTGGTGGATAGTTTAAAGAAGGAAGAGTAATATATATATAACTTTATTTACAGAATCAGGGTCCAAAACGTACAAAGAAAGACACACACTCACAATACACTACATTCATATATAAAACCACCAGCACACACACACACACACACACAAAACCCACAGTGACGTAAGGTCCGTAGAATTAAAATACATACAGCTGGCTCTTCCAATATTTCCAGATGTCAGAGTAATATTGGGTGTCACTTTCCTCGTTATAATTCCATTTCTTGATTCATTTAACCTACACATAAATTTGTACATGAAGTTCTTCACTGGAGCCTGGACCGTGGGAATATTTTTCAGTCACAAACAAAGCACCGGCACTTTCCCACCTTGGAGTCTTCAGCAGAATTCTGAGAGCATCGTTATATGTCACCTTAATCTTATGCATCTTTGCTTTGCTGTAATTACACCATAGTTGAGCTGTGTGCACTAAGGCAGTTCACTGGTTAAAATATAAATTCTTCATCACACTTTTTGCATGGTGCAGTAATTAATGATCATTTCCTTGGTCTTTTTTACGTCATGTTTGACATGGATTTGTCACACCATTCAAACTGAGTGAGTCGTGAGCTGTGCTGGTGTGACGGACTCTGAGCAGGGACCAGTATCTAGTGCAAACCTCACCGAGTGACCTGACTGCTCCAGGAGTCATGAGTTTAGAGCAGGGGTGGGCAAACTTTTTGGCTCACGGGCCACATAGGGTCCTATAATTTGACTGAAGGGCCGGACAGAAGACAGGACATAACGGGTTAAGAGTTTGGCTTCATTACATTTGTACGCTTATGTAGGACGTGCACTACGCGCTACAACATTGCCGCGAAAGATTCAAAACATATAAAACTGTATAGATCTGTTCCACTGCACACCACAGGCAAACACATATCGTGAGCTAACCATTCCCAAGCTCAACTGAGAAACAGCTCAAAAATAGAGCTCACATCACACAGTCACACCTGTGCATGCAGTAAAACCAGACTCTTAGACAGTCCATGCATCAAGAATGACAACATATGGTCTATAGATCATCCATGTTTGATATTTACCAAATTAAGATGAAAGCAGTGCAGCCTTATATCTTGAACACTTCTACTTCACCCATGGTCCAAATAACTCCTGTAAGAACACTTTCCCATAAAGCGTTGCGGCCAACATAATACGTCGCACCTCAATGTATATATAGTGCGCCATCTACTGGGAAACGCCGGAAATGCATGATAAATAAAACATCAACAAGGTTTATTATTGTAATTTATTCCAGTTCGGCGGGCTGAGTTAAAAAGTTTAAAGGGCCGCATATGGCCCCTGGGCCGCAGTTTGCCCACCCCTGGTTTAAAGCAAGTGTCTCCGACCTGTAGCTCAGGGGCAACAAGTCGCTTGTCAAGGGATTTCTGAATTATACGTATTGTGCTAATAATTACAATTTGATTAATTAAATGCCTATTACCAATATCATTTTGACGCCTAACTTTGTGCATATAATAAATACATAATGGTTTATGTTTTACAGGCATCTAACTGAACCCCATTTAAGGTTTGGCCTCTTTCTTATATTGATTCGATTTCTTGCGACTACCATAACTGATAGCTCTCTGGCATTTTTATTTGTAAAAGTCACCAGAGGAAAAAGGGTGGAGACCCCTGGTTTAGAGGAAGAATAATAAAGGAGACAGGACACGGCCCTGTGGTGCTCCTGTCAGTGTTCCTACTGTCAGACGTGTTGTTAACAAAGACTCTTTGTGGCCTCTCTGAGAAAAAGTCTCATCCACAGAACAAAACTGAAACTCTACTCCAGCTGAATAGTTTGCTGAGTTTTTCTGCCAGTGTGGTTGCATCGTGTTGAATCCAGATGAAACAGAAGTCTAACCTCAGAGCCTGGTGTCTCCAGATGCTCTGGAGAGTGATGATTAGGAAGATTTTTTCCTGATCCACACCTCTCTGAACCCAGTATACAAACAGGAGGAGACCCAGATGAGACCCCACAGCTGCAGTGATGTTCTGCTTGATAATCCACTCCAGAGTTTACATCAGGGACACTGGCTGCAGATGAAACCGAAATCTACTCAACATGAATAAGGCACAGCAGAGCTCTGGACACCTCCACAGATGTGAAACTGTACTCAGAGTTCATCAGCAGCTGCACTGACAGACTGAAGCAGAACATGAGAAGACCTGTAGTCCCTTATAACGGAGAGCCCACTGATAGTCCATGCTGGCTACCCAACTGGTCTGTGCGCGTGCGAGCGAGTCGCGTGCGCAACCACAGTAGCACACACTCTGACGTCACTGTCAGTATCCCCTCTGCGCCGTACGCCGGACACAGCCCTCCCGACGAATGAGTAAACCCTACAGAGTGATCCAATGTTTCTGAAGTAACCTCGCACTCCCGCTCTAACCCCTATATAAGTTGAC